GGAGCGTAATTTCGCATTCAATATGTTTCACCATAAATTATCGCTAGATTCATACGCAGTTGAAAACCGATTCAAGCGAGAACCGCAATAATGACGTCGCACGACAATATCCGCTTGTTTTCCGTATTTGTGACTCGAAATGTGATCCCAAAAAAAACTGACATTTTATTTCCTCGGTTTAACGTTAAAAACTTGCAAGTTTTCTGCGTCGAATTAAAAGCGGGAAAAAGAACGAACTTCCACATTAAAGTAAATAAGCAACCTATAAAGCTGTAAGAGATATATCTAAGGCTAGTAGTGTAAAAAACTACCAAATAAGAAATTCGAAGAAAATCGTCGAAATCGACCGCAGAAATGTTTGCAGAGCTCTAAATTTATCATCGATAGACTTCGTGAAATATGATGCACTTAATGTCTTCGGAAATATTTGTAACTTCCGCGTATTGGGACCATATAAAATCGATTCGGCACAGCTGTATATTCTCTCTTTCGTAAAGGAAACTGCGCTTCCTACAAATATAGTGCATATCTACACCTCGGTTGCAATCAAATGTAACAAGAATTATGTAGAAAACAATTAATTACACGAGGAATATCGTGTGGAACCACTCTGGCAATCATAATTGAATTTTTCTAAAATTTTAAAAAACATTCAAAATTTTGTTATATTCACATTATTGTTATATACATTAAGAAAGCCATAAATTTAAATTCAAATTATACATTTTTAAGAAATATTAACAAATTATAAATATTTAAAAATCTAGTAATTTTCTTTGTTCTCAATATTTTCTTAAATGTATGTATATTGAATCGATATACATATATATATATATATATTCAATATATACACACACATATAGCGTCCCGAGATATTTGGATTTCTGCAACTGTATATGTACGTCATCCGTAAATTTTCTATAAAGGGGAAGAAAGAGTCTACCGTGAAGAAAAATCTTTGTGTAAATGCAAATTCGAAGCAAGCACATGCGCGCGTACGAACATACACTTTTACACCACTACAGACATATATTTTATGTGTTTTCGAGGGACAGCCTCAATCCCGGCGAGCAACAACTTGGAATAAAAGTTCCGTATTTTCCTCGTATGTTCCTGCCCTCTTCTCTCGAGCGTTACCTAACCGACCCATAACAGTGTCTCGCATCCAAGTAAAATACTCGACAGACACTAAGTAAATATGCGAATGGGCTACATTGAATTTGTGAATCCGCAAGCACCGTGCGGAAACTTTTGCGTACAATAGATATTATTGTCCGTTAAAAGATTCACGAGAAGGACAAACATCAAGAAACTCGATAGATGACACGTAATTTCATTCGCGCAAACCGCGAAAGGAATCATTGTATTATCATTACCATCGTTGCAACAACATGGCAAAAAGTTATGCTAATAAGCGACTTATTAAAATGTAATTTTCTCCTCACTATAAATTGTCATCTCATTCAGCGATTTATACATATTAATTGTAGATCCACAAGTGCGATCCTTATACAAGTTTACAAAAATATTTTGAAAACTTGTCATTCTAGATCCCTTGCGAAATTTCATGAAAATTAAAACGCGAAATTATATATAAGATCGCGGAAAAGCCTTGCGCGCGTTGCATTATTGACGTCGAACGGCGGCGCATTATTGACACGAGCGTGTAATTAATTGTTGACGATAAACTGTAACGTACGCGGTCAATTGCGAACTGACCGAAACATCGACAGTTTGTCAGCCGGAATGTGGGTTGCCGCAATAATTTCTGACGTGTTTCGCGCGTCGCGCGCTCCGGCGAATAACGTATCGTCCCGGCGTAAAATGGATTCGCGTAATACCGGCAAATCGAGGTGCGTAAAGCGTAATTGATCATTAGTGACAAATGACTGTCAGCGACTCTATCGTGGCGTTCGTCGCATGCCTACGAAACATTGCGTTAAATAGGGCGATTTGTCAATTTTGCTCTGGTTGCGCAGCTGCGTGAAAATACGTATCTTGCGTGATTGACTATTCTCCTGCGTGTTTTTTGTTTTTTAACTAATTTCAACGACGCGATTGTCGCTATCGATCATTTTTCAATCCTGGCTAACTAAATTATATCGTCGACTGATTCATAATATTCACGTTTTCCTTCCGTTTTTTTTTTTTTTAGAAATCGCAACAAATGCACATGAATCGTTTATTTTGAAAACGAAACAGCTTTAATGAAAAAATGTGTGGTTGAAATATGTTTATGTGGAAAACTTCTCCATATAAGATCAAATAAAAATTAATATTGGACGCTAGTGGTGAAAATAAACTTGGCAAAATTGATTTCGACGTAACTAGCAATTTTATTCAATACTTTCACGACGTTTCGACCATTTGGTTGTGGTCCTTATCAAGTGAGAATTCCATCAATTAAAATGAGATTAACGCAACATAAAACCGATCTTATTTAAAATTAATAGTTAAAAGAGGAACACGTCCCATCGCTATGATGTTTCGTCAACGACTGAAAGTCGTGAAAGTATTGAATAAAATTGCTAGTTACGTCGAAATCAATTTTGCCAAGTTTCTTCATATAACTTATTGAAATAAAAACTTGATTTAAAGATATATCAATATATATGCAACACTAATTTAAATTACGATTTCAAAGTATAACTTGTAAAAGTTATATTTAAAAAAATATAAATATAAATATGATAGATCATATAAATATAAATTAAGTTATAATAAATATACTTATATAAATTTAATGAGAGAAAAGAGAGAAAAAGAGGTAAAGAATATCAAGAATGTATATACTTGTTATCTAATATTTGATCTCGTATAGTAGACGGTTCACATCATGTCACATCCACGTATTAAATCGACGTGTGTTAAATTTAGAATTGCGGACACGTACTATTCTGACACATGTATTGACTATTTCCATCATCATTTCACGCATTTTCACTTCTCCGAATTGGACGAGACAGACGTCGAAAAATAGTGATCTCGAGTCCTTGTACTTTACGAATCGCGAGAGCTCCCATCGCGCAAATAACAATAATGACACTACCGATTGAATCTCTCTCGCGACGATACAATCGCGAAACCAATTAACGACGGCAAATTAAGACTATACTACACATTTTATCGTGAGTTCAAACTTTGCGTTACATACGGGCGTGGGATGTGATACGTGTGATACGTATATAATTGCATATATGTCGTGCTCGTATAATATAATTATATACAGAAAAAAGATTCGCCATCGGCCAATTATTTTTTTATTATACGCTTTCGCGTTTTCAATATCTAAAAAATAAATAAGTATATAATCGATGGTAAGAGAACCTCGATGTTTTTTTTATATTTTCATGCAAAAATAACATAATTGAACGCACGTTAATTGCACTAGAGCTTTATGAAATATAATATGTATTTCATCAAAATAATTTGTTCAATCGGTTTTACCATTCCAAAAATGTATCACACTTATTGTTAGAATTGCAACATTAGAGAGATCGATTCGGTCGTGTATTTCAGATTGAACAAGATTAGGCGGTCGCGGTGCACTATGCGTCCCACAACGCGACTATTCGAGAATTATTTATCGAGGAATGAGTATTAGTTTACATGCCATTAAACAAACGTGATCAATTTAATCCCATCCATGGTAACTAAGTGAATATATTAATGGACCGCGAGTAAAACGTATATTGACTATACGTTTATATAGTTATAACGAATTACGAAATTATCATCGGTGACGTGAAATTAAATAATACATTGCAATGTTGATTATAAAGATTTAATATCAGCGCACACGTGACGCAGTTTCGAAATTTTTCGAATAAATTGCGTTTCGTAAAAAAATCGGGACACATGTTCGCTAGTTTCCACGAGTAGATAATATTTCAAATTTTTGTTTTCAGACACGATACGAGATTATCATCTCGCGCACACATGCGTTGAGATAAAATATTTCTGAAGACACTCCATGTACGATTCGTATAAAATTGCAAGAAAAACGCGCAACCATAGGAAAGAGTATCAAATGAGAGAGAGAGATACGCGCGGAATTACGAATTAACAAAGAGAATTACGAATCCACAGTGAATCGGCAGAGTAATAAGCTTACGTGCAATGTAAATTACATGGGACGTCTGGACAAAGAGTATATGCATTTCGATATAATGTTAATCGATACGCGCGAAATAAGTCACGAAAAAATTCAGTAACAGAAGCGAAAGAATGTAAATAATAGACAATACATTATTATAAAATCAGATAATAGCCATTTCAATTTTCTTGTAAAATGAAAAACATGTTGGAAGAGATAATTACCTGTTTTCATAGTTGATTGATATGTTTCCATATTTATTTCAAAAGACTAACAGAAGAGAACAATATTCGATAAAATATCGATCGGTTATTGTCGCGTCGAAAATCGATGCATAATTTGCATTGTTTTCTTCTCGCGTCCAAACGAACCAGAACAACGCTAACGTTCAAGATTCTTGTTGACATTTCAATCAAGCAATATCTGTTTGGTTATCGATCAACACGTGTTATGTTAGAGAGATATATGTATACGATATATAATCTTTTGAGTGCCAAACCCACGAGCATGACGATCTGCAAAGTGTTACAGGAGTATTAATGTAATCATATTTCAGAGGAAAGTTTATCACATTTAATTTCTGCCTTTTCACATTTGCCTTGAAAATTTTCTTTCTTTCATCGGAATTATTTGACGTTGAAATTTGACGAAATTTTCCCACCTTGTATATAAATCGGCGGTCAAGAATGATTCCTGTTAACAATTAGATTTGCACATAGGTTCTAATGACACTTGCGACACTTTTCACTGCCGCCACGGCCTTGACATTCAAAGGATTATACAACGTGTCGATCGATCGCGCGAAAGTTCGTCGCCCTTCCTTCGCGCCTCGTGGTCGATCGTCTAAACATTCGAACGTGTTTTCGGGAAAGAGAATGAGAAAGAATTACACACTGATATTTACATAATCGACGTATGCTGTGGCGGTGGTCTGTCAGCCTCGCCGGCATTGCGGTGACGGTGGTTGTTGTGGTTATTGCCGCCGCTTAATCCTTGCACCTGTACACTAGTCGCGATAGTAGTCCTCGCCGGCTGCCGACTCGCACTATCCTTCAGTATCTTCGTCGCGCTCAACGGCGTGGCTGTCACGCACATCGTTCCACGCGCGGCTACTGATATCACCTTGTCGTTATCACACACACCACGAGCCGGTAAGCTCGACACTCCGCGCGAGGGAGAGTACGCGGTCTCTCAGCTCGGCCAAGACATCCGGACCGACGACGCCGAAAACGACGGCGGCGAGGACGACGTGACCTTAACGCGACGCCATACGCGACGCGACGATGCACGAGACTGCGTTCGCCCGCGAGGATTCGCAGATCCGTCCGTTCCGATAGCGAGCATCAATACCGCGGAGGGTGGACGCGCCCGAAAAGAACCGGAAGAGAAACGCGCGCGAGCCGCGATCACGGAGGGCCTCTCTCGCCCGTACGAATTAATGTACTTCTCGCGTATGTCACGCCGTATACGATCGCAGATCTCACCTCGTGGCGCGCCGCGGGCCTACTGAGTGACTGATTGACTGAGTGACTGCCGCGAGCCGTCCTGCGTGGGTGCACACGCGGTCTCCAGCGTACGACGGGGCTGTCGGCGTGCCGATTGGCTCGCTTTGGCTACGGTAGGGCGGCATGAGCCAATAGGGCGCCGCGGCTGTCGGAGCGACTCTTTGAGAGTCTCTGCTAGCACTTGGTCGCGAGCCGCCGCGCCGTGCGTTTCGTGCTGCGGCTTGCTCCGCAGCGAGTCTGTATTTCAAAGGTTCATTTCCCTCCCATCGAAGATCGAACTTCGACTATCGTGCGATCAGGTGTAGTGTCTCATTGAAGGATCGAATATACGAGATGTAGAAGGGAAATATATATCCGAGTGAAAAGCGATTAGAAAACATTTCTTTTCTTCCAAATTCTCGGTTGCTCGTCTTGACATTCGCGTGTGTAATAATAATAATCGATAACGAGAAACAAGAGGGTCGGGTTATAACACCGAGCTAGTGTGTCCTTCTGGGAATAATCGCCACGCGAGTAATTTCGATTCTGAGCGGTCAAATTACATTTCGCGGTTTTTCCCGCGTTAATTCTCTCAAAGTTTTAAAATATCGATAGTGTCAGTGTCGCTCTATAATACATCGATTTTTTTTGCAGCTTTTTCCGATTACATTCGTTTTTACTTGGTATATAGTGCAAGTGACTTGAACTCGTATAAATAAAACTGCATAAATAACTACACATTCTTATTTTTATATATACCGCGTGATTTAATTTCGTACTTTTCGCGATAAATTGCATTAAATGTTTAATTTTCTCTTTCGTCAATATTTTAACGCAGTTCGTCGATAGGTTTTTTTTTTAATTTGATCAAAAATATACTCATTTGCGTATTTAGATTTTATTCGTACTCTCGTCAATAGGGCTTGCGATTTGCAATTGTATAAATATTATTCGACGATTTATTAAAATTGTTGTCTTCTGTGAATTTTTATGTTTGTCATATTCGATATTTATTGCGATTGGATATAAAACGCCATCCTTCTTTCAGCACATGAAAATGATCGATGTCGCGCTGACTGACAGATGCACGTGTCATTCGCGTTAAAAGTGCTCTTCATGTCGAATTTAACCTGTTTTCGATTCAAATGTTGCTTGTACGACTACGATGATACGTTTCACCTTTGTGTTACGATCGCTATATTTTACGAATTCCGTTCTGTAAAACTTTTTATTGTTCCATCAATCGCTGATGTACAGTTTCGCAAAGTTTAAATTTTGAATGGATGTCCACATCGTTAAAATCGAACAAGTACTTCTTAAACTTGTCAAGTTTAAAAACTTAGAAGATCCTCAAGATGCATGGAAATTTAAATGAGAGAAAGAAATAATTTTGTAGATCTTTCTTCTAAACAAACTTTGATTACTTATATAAATGTACATTTTTAAAAATCATAAACTCGGTTTTTAAAATCACAAATTCACTTTATTTCTTCATTTTTTAGAAGAAATGTTTATCGTCAAAAGAGAAAGAGCCAATATATTTCGCGTTTTATAACAGAGGATGCAATATAATTAAATATCCTTATAAGTAATTAATATTTGGATAACGATTTGAAGACTTTGAAGAAATTTTGAACGTCTCGTTTCCGAAATTTCCACAATATGCAAAAAAAAAAAACAAACAGCAGCAATATTCGCGCGAGCTAGTCGCCTTACGGTCGTTCTGATTTATAGCACGAGATGCATTTCCATACATGCAATTTATATTCGTGATTCCTATATGTGAAAATATCTCGGGGGATATTAATTCCGCGATTTCTATACACATCTCTGCGCGCGACGCATCATCGAGCGCATCGCTTTGTCAACGCCGATTGAAATGTAGATGGAAAAAAGATATATATTGATAATAGAGACATATTCGCATATTATATGAAAATTTTCTGCTCATAATTATTCGTGCATTTCTCTATCACGGACAGTAGGACCGAGGTTTGTCAGAATTATGAGACATGCACAAGAAACATTATACTATTCGCGATTGAATATATCGTACGCAATTTTACTGCTAGTATAATGATACAAATTATATTTTAAATAATTTATATATTACATCTCTAATTTTTAATTACTTTCTCCTTCTTTTTTACAAAAATAATTTTATATTTTTCTTTAATAATAATAATTAAAATATATTGCATACTTTGTCCTATCGCAACAAATGTTACATGAAAATTCTGAGAATCACGTAATAATACAGATAACATAAAAGAATTATATAAATGCAATAAGTATAGACAAATTACGCGATTGTCCCTGCAATTTTCCAGATCTCGAATACAATAAAGACCGCTATTTACCCCAGAACTCGAAGTTCTTCTTATACTACTTTGCAATCGCTCATGCGAGTCGAACACGAGCATTTGAAAAAATAATTCGGGAATGTAAATTATATGCAAATGTGCATAATTACACGAATCGAAATAAATTACAGGCCCAAGGTCTGTAATTAATACTTCGAAATGTCAAATGCAAGTTCTTGCAGGTTTCCTCGGAAGATTCACCGACACATCTGGATAGCTCTTGTGTATACTTGCCAAAGAACAGAGTCTCTCTTTCTTTCTCCTTTTTCTTTTTTTCTCTCAAACGTTCCATTTCCAGAGGCGCACACAGGACGAAGCTGACCAGGTGCGGATTTCCAGACCTCTTCCTGCCTCGCGACCTTCATTGCATCCCCTAAATGCGTCTTTCACGACTCAGTAGATCGCCCTTTACCACATACAGTCCCCCTTTATATCACCTATTAACTTCGACTGTTCACAATGTGGGTCTGCTCCTCGTCTCGCCAGATCTTATCGTATACGGATAGGCTTGCCGACAGCAAAATTGGATTTAAGAGATTGTTTGACGGACGAGTGATCACGTGTAAAAATTTTACACGGTGATTAAACGGGGGATTGAAGAGCGATACATATAAAGCATTTCAGAAGCGTGATTTTAAACGATGATTTCTTTGTACAAATTCAGAAACGATTTTCTTGGAAGAAAAAGTTTATTATTAATCAACATCTTATATGAAAGTTAGTTGTAAATCGTTATCTTTTATATGAAAGTACTAATAAACTGCATCAACTTTAAGCTTATGCGCTTTCTCTTAGTTCTTAGCTTAACATAAAATAAATAATTATTTATATAGATAATTATAATTGGCATTTTATAAAAATATTTATGTGTTTAAATGAAATTCAAACTTCGCCTGAAATATATTTATAAAACATTCGAGAAAACAAACGTAGTACATTTCATATATTTGAATCGGTAAGATTAATACCTAAATAATATAGCTTTATATTATTCAAAGCATACTATAAATACTTGCTGTAGATTAAAAATTTTGTAATAATTGCAGATTATTAATTTCTCTCTCTTCCTCGTCTACTTTTTATCTTATTCGTATTCTCATATGTTGCTCCAGATTCTTAAATTTGTTGCGCGTCTCATTACATGTCACTGGGATGACCGACTATAGGCCAATATCTCGGAAAACTGACCACGTAGCTCTCACATAGAAAACCACAGCAGTACGTCGTTGATCCAGGCACCAATTTGCCGGTTTTCTTTTGTCGTTCCAGGCGATTTTCCGACGTGAGACGCGGCTCTTTGATGATCAACAATGAGCGACGGTCTTTCACAATGTGCAGCGACAAAGTCGACGGTGACAACGAGTACGTGGGTCTGTCACTAAGCGTCTTTGGAACGTGCGGTAGGTAGGTAGATAGTGAGAAAAAGATTCCAGAAGCGCACTTTTGGAACGCGGGCAGCCTTTGTTGAATGGCGTGTCGGTATATTTCAAAAACGACAAAATATCGTAATTTTTCCTGAAAAGGTATTATTCACGCCCTTGCCCAAAAACGGACTGCCCTATTCCGAAGGCGAAAAACTGACTGACTGTGTAAAATTGTCGCGAAAATCGGTTTATCGAATTTTTTCACGGATGGGTTCCGCTTCGGAGTAATAGAGTCGTTATACGGTTAGGCACGTACGAAAATAATTGGTTCGAAAAAATAATTATTTGACATTTTATATATCAATATTAAAATAAATATTTCTTCTCAAACTCATCTTTTTACTTTTCAAAATTTGAAAAAGTGACCATTCCATTCAAGGATTTAATTATAGTTAAACGTGAATTATAATGGAATTTATGAATCTTTGCATCCTCGAACCCTACTCTTACATAATTTTCAGTATATTGGCCAGAGAAAAAAAATTCTGTCGCTTAATTCAAATACGTTTTCGATTGAGAAATTTTTTCCCATGAATTTTGAAACCCTTCAAAGTCAGGAATGTGCCACGAGATCTGCACGGACTCTCCTTAATTACTCAGCAACAATGTTCTCGCAAGCTGTTAGTAATTTGCGGTTCAAGTTTTTAATCACAAAACGCGGCCGAGTTTCGCGAGTCGACGTCGAAGTTACGGTTTCGCGGCTTCGACAGGAATGCTCGCGCTCTTTCTGGAAGAGCCGTGGAGAACGCGTTAAAAGCGCGAAATAATTGCGCTCCGCTGGCGGTTCGTTATAGCGGTAACGTATGTGTGCGATGGGAAGCTAGGGAAGCGAAGTGGTTTTCCGCGAGAGCAGAAGCTCATCGTCACGTCGGCGAGAAGCGTGAACGAGCGTATAACGGCTGGATGACGCTCTCGCGGAAGCGAAAAATAGAAGCGTGCGGGTCGACAAAGGGCCGAGACCAAGAGGGAAACTCGGGCGCGGCGAATTTCCGCATGTATGTAATCGGGTCTTTTTGTGGAACTGTCCCGGTCTGCCTTGCAAAATGTCCGCTTCGAGTTTGTTAAGCGAGAATGAATACCGAGGAAGAGAGAAAAAAGGAAAAGCGACGCTTCGCGTTTCATCTCTTCTTTTCGTGCGACAATGGCGAACGGAAATATTGCCCGAGCAGAGGAATCGGAGTAATACCGCCGGATTCACGAGGGCGAATCCAGTCATATGTG